AAAAAAAAAAAAAAAAAAAAGAAAAAGAAAAAAAAACGAAAAAGCGTTTTTAAAACTTTGAAGAAATATTTTACCTAATAAACACTGACAAAACAAAAAATTACGTGGCCGGACGTAATTAAAAAAATAAAAAAGATGGAAACTTTTTATGCATATGCAACAGGTTTTCCAACAAGCAGATTTACAAGCGTGAAAAAAACAACAAAAAAGAAAAAAATTATCTGTCTATTTAAGAATTCTTTATCAAAAGGTCTTTAAGAAAAAAAAAAATTGTAGCATTGAACTGTTCGGTCATTAATATTTTTCTGCTGTCATCGCTAAAGAAATTTCTTTTTTTTGATTACACAGACACAAACACACAAATGGATACATAGACACTAAATAAGAGGATGTGCCCCCCCCCTCCCCCTTCCTTTTGACGCCGATAAATTGTAAGGTGAAGAAAAAAGAAACAGGTGGACATGATGGATAACGGTAGTTTAATGAATGCTGAAACAGTTTTTTTTAATTCGAGTACTTAAACGTAAAATAAACGAGTCAGTATCATTAGTTTTGCCCGTTTACCCGCACTTCAGCGGTTCTTTTCAGCTCAATTGAAGTCATCAGCACACTTGAACGATAATATCCCATAAAATCTTGAACACTAATTTTCATCATTTTTCTTCCTTCATTTTCACTACTTTCTCCGATATTATTATTACTTCGACACTGCTATTACTTTCAATAATTACATTTTTTTCACCTCAACAGTTAATGATCTAATTATTTTTATTGTAACTTTTTTTTTCACTTCTAGTATCTAGGTCAATCTTCAGGGCGTTAAATCGTTGGTTGTTGTTTAGATGAAGCAGTGTAGGCGATGACGGTAGAAAAAATTATATACAATGATCCAGAGTGGGAGGCTTCTTCAGTTCTTCCGTTATATTTCTCTTGTCCATATAGTTTTTTTTAACGAAACGGAAGTGCTCAAATTGTGGTCATTTATTTTAGTTACTAACAACTGATTATAAACTCTTTATTGCTCGACTAGAAAGAAGATTAGAAAATACTAAGCTAGTTTCGTTTTACGCATAAAAGTAATTTTTCCATAAAAACCGTACTTAATCTTGGTTCGTTGTGAGTATTTTTATAGTTGTTGCCTTATGGTACGGAAATATCAACAAAGTACATGGTCATTGATCAAAAACATTTTTTAAACAGGAATGGCGGACGAAAAATTTTTGTTGAAAACATCAGAAGCCAGCTTCAGGCGTGTAGCATTTGTTAGTATCTCACTGTCTACATTTGCGACTCTAGTATGCGTTATTTCTGTGCCACTATTTTGCAACTATTTGCAAACAATGAATGCGGTATTGCAAAATGAAGTAGACTTCTGCAAACTGAGATCAGCAAACATTTGGAAGGAGGTTACGCGAACACAAGTAAGTTACGCCATACCTATTACTTTATCGGTAAATTTTTTTTCAAAATGGTTGTTAAAATTAGGATTTGTTAAACATTTAGATATAATAATAAGAGCTAGAAAATATAGAATTATTGTTATTCCGACTCTGCATTACTCCTTTCGTCTAAGAGTACACTTATAGGCTCATGCTCATCAACATGAACTAAGATCCAAACGGCAGACTGATGGTTGCTGTGGTTGCGGGCATGCTCCTCAAGGTCCGCCAGGTCCACCTGGACCAGATGGTGTTGACGGACCTGATGGGGAACAAGGACCGCCTGGAAGAGATGGTCCAGATGCACCGAAGCCTCGAACACCATCCAATCTTGAATGGTGCTTCGAATGCGATCCGTCACCACAGGGACCTCCCGGTCGACAAGGTCCAAAGGGTCCACGCGGTATTCCTGGTCCTCGAGGGCCTAATGGTATTCCGGGCGCTGCAGGTCCTCCAGGAGTACGTGGACCTCGCGGTCCATCTGGTGC